ACCATTTTCAAACATTCAGTTTGGATTGCGTGGGAACTAGGAGCAAAATGAGCGTATCTGGACAAGTTGCGTTTATCCCTCCGGGCGTAAATGATAAAGTCGGCGTTAGCGACTTTCGGCGTAAATTACTAGCGAATTATGCGAAATATCAAGTGGAATAAAAGAAAAATTGGATGCGTAGCGAACTATATTCAGCGTTAGATCTGCTAAGGATGACTTCGACACATTCGACACAGCTAATATGATCCAATCAATCTCCAAGGTAGACAGGTTCATTTGAATTTCTAAGCAGCTGGGGATTGGATGATATGCAGTTAGAAACATCCTAGGATGGCATGCAAGGTCACAAAACAAGTACTGTGGAATAGCTAGGTTTGGCAAGCTATGGATTTGGTTATGGTAGATTCAAACGTGTATTAGGATTGGAAAAAGGAGTAGGGTTAGTTCTACCCGGTACTCTCTTTTTCAAGGTATACGTTAGTATGATAGCTGGAAAAGGCGTGTGGTGGTTGCTAAGGTATGAGTTTACCACCTGGGCGCTTTGTGAGTAGGGCGGACAAGACTTGCGAATAGGGATGAGTCCCGGTATTCGGTCTGGTTAGTTCGACCCGGATTGCTCTCTTTTCCAGTGGCTGGAATAGGCGTGGGCCCATAGTTAGATTTAGATTTTACAATTTACATTTTAGAGTTTAGATTTAGATTTTAGAATTTAGGTTTAAGATTTTAGAGTTGAAATTTAACTTTATTTTGTTGCACGCAAGCTGCAGATTGCGTGTAACACCAATATATAATAAGTAATTCGTTTATTTTACCTTTTGAAATTTTCTTTAGTCCCTGAATAATTTATTTGTCCATCATGAGTTTTTGAGTATTGTTTCTGAGTGAGTTACGACATTTTATTTTTATTTATTTAAGTAGCAAATAAGACGTAGCTCCAGTATGAGCAGTGATCAATCTAACATATATTTTTATTTCAGCTTTTAAAAAATGTCCTTTAAACGATTCTGATTATGTTTCTCCTTTTAGAGTGATGTAACAATGGTAACAATTAGCTGATAAGGTTTTGTCAATTGGTTTTGTATCAATTGTTCAATATCAGCAGCAAACAATCTAACATATATTTTTATTTCAGCATTTAAAAAATGTCCTTTAAACGATTCTGATTATGTTTCTCCTTTTAGTGTGTTGTAATAATGGTAACAATTGGCTGATAAGGTTTTGGCAATTGGTTTTGTATCAATTGTCTAGTATCAGCAGCAATCAATCTAACATATATTTTTATTTCAGCATTTAAAAATGTTTGCCTTTAAAAACGATTCTCATTATTTTTGTCCTTTTAGTGTGATGTAACAATGGTAGCAATTAGCTGATAAAGATATAGCTCAGCAAACAAGCTAATAAATATTTTTATTTCAGCATTTAAAAATGCCATTTTAAAAGGTTCTGATATTTATATCCTTTTAGTGTGATTCAGAGGAGTGAGGACACTCATAAGTCAGGAATGGCCGAATGTTATCGACGCCTATGATCCTTATGATAGACAGTCATTTTCACGCCGTGCCTGTACCCCGTGTCCGCTGATGTTTGCGAGTAGCGGAGTAGTAGGCTTTGGAAACAGTTGAATGTCAGAGATTGTTGATTTCGGCCGAGAGAAGACATTGTTTGTTAGAATTATATTTAAAATATCAATTTCTGTTAAATATATTAATCTCCCGATTACAGAAAGTCGATTTTCATTGGTTTTATAAGTAACATCATCAATATCTTTATCAAAACTTTCCAAACACATCTTAAGAAGGGTTAATAAGAAATGAAATATTGTCAAAACATGTATTTATAAGTAGGTATATTTTTCATTAAAATGCATTATCCCATACAAAAGTATATTTTTAATTAAAATAAAAACTTATCTACCATATAAAATAATTATATTAGTCACTACATTCTAAATAGGTTATTACCATTTGAAGACCTTGGGGCAAACAGGATATAAGCCACATAATTTTAAAAATACATTTTATTGCAGTTCTGTATGTAGAAATCTTCTTTTTAGCTGCAGATCTGACTTTAGGCTAATTCTATAAAAGATGGCGCCAGTGTCGCAAGATGCCTTTCTTGCTCTAAAAATTTTTTTGACAATTTTTATGTCAAAATCGGTACAAGCCACCATAAAAACAACATGGCCGACAAGAAAATCCGGACAGCGAAACGTAAATCGGACTTTTTTTACTTTTCTAGTGACTAATGGGGTGAAGATTTTGATTCAGACGATAGTGTAATGGATCAAAATTATGTGGAAAGTAAAAATGGAAGTAGTGAATCATCTAACGACTCTGAAACGGTAAGTCAAAATAATATGCGGCTTGTACCATTTTAACCCAAAAAAAGTGGCTTAAATTTTATAACTTGTTTTTTAATATTGCTGAATATTGTCCAGCTTTTAACACTTGGAAAATAACTATCATACTAATTATTACAAAAATAATCATTTCTCAAGACTGTATTTGATATTTGCTTTGTTTTACCTAGATATTTTGACAAGTAGTGGCTTGTACCCTTATTGTTACGATAATTTTTCCGATTTTTTTTTTCAGAAAATGTGTCATGCCCAGACGCAGCGTTCTACTGAAGATGCAACTACTAACGAAAATCGTATAGAAGAGACTCCTTCAACTTCAAGAGGGACATTGCCGACACCTGAGAAGCCTACTCCTTCTAGATGGAGGCAAACAAACTTAGAAAGAAGACTGAGAAATAAGAGGAAAATCAAAAGAAATCTTGGTCACTGCTACAAAACTTCAAAAGGAGATAACATCGAAGCACGTGAGATAGGACAACCATGTAAATGCAAAAAAATGTGTTGGCACTTATTACAGGGTAAAGAAAGTGAATTATTTAATTCATTTTGGAATCTTGGAGATTATAATAAGCAAAACATTTACTTATTTTCTTTAATGAAAGGAGTGCCCAAAAAGAGAACGTATAAGAAAAAATGTAAAAAGGAGGTTTCTTCCAGAAAGTTCAATATCCACTATTTTGTTAAAGTAAATGGCATCGACATGAAAATTTGTAAAGAAGAATTCCTTGCAGTTCATGGCTTACAAAACTCAAAAAAGAGAATTCAACTCCTTTCCAAACAAATGGGTTATGGCTGTTCTGTTCCGTCTTCCGATAAAAGAGGTACGCACTGTAACAGGAAAAATAAAATTTCTCAAGAAAGGTATGACTCAATTAAAGAACACATTGAATCGATTCCGAAGTACACATCCCATTATAGCCGAAAAAGAAATCCTCAAAAAGTGTACTTGGATCACGATCTAAATATTTCTTCACTTTACAAGGATTATTATGTCTCGTGGTGTGAAGGAAAAGGAATCGAACCTGCATCTGAAGATATGTATAGACGAGTTTTTTCAACCAAATACAATATTGGATTCAAACTTCCGAAAAGCGACACTTGCAAATCATGCGACATCTACAAAATTAAACTTGAGGATGAGAACCTTCCTGACGACCAGAGAAAAGCTGTTTTATTAGAAAAGGAATTGCATTTGAGAAGAGCTGCGGCGCTTCAAGAAAACCTGAAACAGGAAACAGAAAATGCAAAACTTTCTAAAGATGTCTGCGTAGTTTCCTTTGACCTTCAACAAGCTTTGCCTGTACCTAACATTAGTGTAGGTCCTGCCTTTTACCTACGAAAAGCGTGGGTGTATAATCTAGGTATCCACGACTGCGGAACGGGGAAGGGCTACATGTATATGTGGTCCGAAAATATAGCCAAAAGGGGCAGTGACGAAATTTCGAGCATCCTGTACAAACACTTTAAGGAAAATAGAAGTGAGGCAAAGCGACTTATACTTTTCTCAGACAACTGCGGGGGCCAAAACAAGAACTGGTCCATAATATGCCTTTGGCAAAACCTAGTTAAAAGCGGAATATTTGAATCTGTTGAGCACAGATATCTTATAGTCGGACATACCCATTTACCGAGCGATCGCGATTTTGCAATAATCGAAAAGTATAAGAGGCACTACCTGAAGTCGGTTTACGTTCCCCAGGACTGGTATAACGCAGTTTTAAGCTGTAAAAGGACCAATCCTTTTAAAGTTGTTCAGCTGGATCGGAAAGATGTTTTGTCGTTTAAGGATTTAGTCTCTCAAATCACAAAAAAGTCTTTAACAGATGATAAAGAAAAACTTAACTTTAGCAAATTGTGTTGCGTAAAGTTTCAACGTGAAAATGCCAATGAAATGCTGGTAAAACATTGCTTTAATGGGGAATTCAAAATTTGTAATATCGGAAAGAGAGGCCAAAGAAACTCTACATCTTTAACTTTGCAAAATTTGAAACAAAAATATAATGACCCTATTCCATTAAACTCCAAGAAATTGGCTAATCTTGTGCAGCTTTTACCGTATATTCCACCAATATACATGGACTTCTACAATGAAATTGGTGCCATACCAGGAATTTCAGAAGATGGAGGCCATTCTTTGGTTAACAATGTAGAAGAAATGGATAACTTCAGCGACCTCACTGACACCGACTGAATGTCAGCACAGTACTGTTCTTAAACCAGCATTTTACTTTGAATTTTAATATTTTCTTGTTTCATTATAATATTTTTCGGGTTGTTTGACTGGAATAAGCGTTCTTAGATTCGTTATGTATACTAATAAAAATTGAGAATCCAAAAATAATCTGTTGTGTTTTTATGGCTAAAAGGATATATGCCACTTTTTTTCTTTTTTAATTTTTTTTCAGAAATTTGTGAGGTTATTGATAAGTTTTTTCTCTAAAATACATTTACTTCTAAATATACAAAATAGTTACTAAACCTTTTTTGCCAAATAAGAATAACTGGATTTCAGGATTTAAATGAAATTTTTAAATCTAATTTTCTCAGAATTTGTATTTTGTGGCTTATATCCTTTTTGCCCCAAGGTCTTCATTTAACATATAATTAATTTGTAATTATGTAAAACTAAAATACATGAAATCTAAATTGTTCCTATATATAATTAATTATAATTTGATAACTCTATAACTAATATGTATAAATTATAATAAGATTAAAACATTCTGAAGGGAATAATAAATTAATATTAATAAATATATTTGTTTTAACTCATTAATTTAATTTATTAAATTAATGAAATTTGAAATAGAGAATGTGTTTTTCAAAAGAAATATATTTCTCTTTATTTTGGGGAATTACTGATAGTTGTTCTTTATTTGACCACATATTCTTTAAAAATAGATGGCTGTCGTAATTACGTAAGTTGTGCATTATAACTGGAATAAAATTAGGAATTTTATAGTTTATATTACACAAAGAATGAGCTGGTCCTCTATAGCTGCCCGTTTTGTGACAATTATCGGCAACTTTATCCCCTAAAAGTGGCTTATCACAAATATGACAGTTTTTAGCATTGTTATCTGTAGTTTGTTCTAATTCTGTTAGAGTATTCATTTTCTTAGGAGTCTTTAAAAATGTGTGATATAAATTTAACGCATCTTGTTCTAGAGAATTTATAAAAACTTTTTCGCTATCCAAACCTCTATATTTTTCAAACTTAGAATATGCATCATCAAATGAACATTTGATATAATATGCAAAAGAGTATGGAATATGTTCAAATTTTTTTACAGTATATGAACTATTTGGATCTTCTACATTTTCATTATTTAAAGGTTTTAAAATACATTCAAAGTCTGCATAAATCACAAAAGGAACTTCCATTTGATTTTGATAATTTATAAATTTTAATATATTTTCATATGCCACATTTCCATATTTATCTTTAACTAGTTCTTTAGAAGGTAAATTAATTTTAACATGATCACAATCATAACTATTATCGTATTGTAATTTTTGTTCTGTATCAAAATATTGCAAACATCCTTCACATAAATATTTTCTACCATTGTGTTTACTAAGTTGTTTAGAAATTAATTTAGAAAGATCGGAAATGTAGCAATAATGAAGATTTCCATCATCATCGTTTATCAATAATAAATTAACATGAATATTTTTTTTAGCATTTGTGAAATGTAGAGGACCAATTACTTCATATTCCTCATTATTAGAAATTTTATTATAATATTTTTCTAAACCGTTGATAGAAATATTGTTTTGATTTTCAAATTTCTTGATGTCTTTTAATGATATTGGAAAGTTAATACCTGCAGTGTTCAAAACCGTTGAATAATGAGGGTATAATGATGTAACAAAGTCAACACCTGTTGGAGTATGAAGAGCTGCAACTATGGACCATGCGAAGCAGTAGTCATCGTTATTTCTTATGTTAACTACAGCTTGACGTCGTACTATTTCAGGAGGTAGTTCAATAAAAGATGATGCTCTCAAAGGATTGAATTTATTGATGTTAATTTCCAAATGAATAAAATTAAGTAAGATCCATCCTGAAACCAGAAATAAAAATTAATTACATATATATTTTAGATTAAAGTTAAACACTTACCGGAATCTTTTTCTGCAAACTCATCTGCCTTATTGTCAATAACTGTTACAAATTCTTCTATTAAATCCTTTGTTGCACTGCTGTTACAAATTACTTTAAATGGAGTGTTGAATGATTTTACATCATGTGTATCAGTACTTGGATTATAATAATAGCCAAAAAGCTCCATATTAATTTTAAGGCATGTATGTTTTCTTAATTGATCCTCAAATATAAGAAGAATCTTTTGTTCCAATTTTATAAAGTAATTTTTAACATTTAAGATCATCTCCTCCATAGATAATCTATATGTTATTATTCGTGCTTTGAATGCAGATTTAATAATTTGTACTCCTGGTGGTTCAATTATTTTAGAATTATTTTTATGTGTGTTAGATCGCAGATGACCAAACCATAAATTTTGTAATATTGACTCTTTGCATTCTTCACAATATTTCTCTATAAAGACAATTATTTTGTTAATTCCAAAAGGTTATAACATAAAATGAAAAAAATCTTACTTTTTTCTTCAGGTGTAGACTTTATCAACCGTCTGTTTAGAAAGGAAGATTTGTTGCAGGCACTCTTTAAATATTGAGATAGGTTGTCTTTACGAGTAAAGGTTTTTTTACAGGATGGACAAATAAACATCTTTCAATTTTATACTGTAAAATAATTTTATGGTTTTATTATTAAATTTTATTCTGTTATATGTAAGGTTAAGTTTGGAAAAAAGAATGTATAAATATAATTTAATTAAAAAAATAAATGAAAAAAAATGTAAATATTTAATTAAAAGAATCCACTAACTTATCGAAAGATTTTTTTAAATATTGTAGTTCTGCATTATGTTCACTTGTTATGTTTGTTTCTTTAAGAAATTGTTCAAGAGCGAAGCTCAGAGTTTTTAATTTTGAAAAGGGTTTTAAATACTTTTTCAAAGTTTTCTTCTTTTTGTTGATAATAAAGGATGGTTTACTATTTTCGATTTTATTCTTAAACGTTTCTCCTTTTTCATCGGAACTAAACTCTATTTTTTGAGAGTGTGCCGGTGAAAAAGGAGAAATGTTTTGAGAAGAACTAGTCTGACCCTCATTTTTGGAGTCTCATCAATACTGCAATACTTGCATTATTAGATTTAGTTCATCATCAAAATTATTAATTTCCTTATGTTCATCACTATTAACAGAATTATTACATTTACTATTCTGTATTAACGTCTTCTCAAATTTTGAAATGGAGTCATTCATAAGTTCCTCTAAAAATATTTCGTTAAAATCAATGTCTCTATTTTTAACATCTGTTAAAAATTTGTTTAAATCGTCAAAGTTTTCCATTTCAAATGGTGTAAAAAGGTTGTCTGTATTTATAATGTCACTATTATCAATTTCATTCAAGAAATTGTCTAATTCTTGATTGAAATTAATAATTGGTGTAGTGATGTTAGGTGTAGTCATGTTATTAGTTTGAGTATTTATCAAGTCTGAAATAAAAATAAAATGAGGGTCAGAAAAATTGTTCATCAAAATTATTTGTAAAATATTATTTTTTTTCAGGATTGATTTAAAAAAATATTTACCTAATATGCACAAACAAGTCACAACACAAAATAAAGCGAAAATCTAAAAACCGAAACCATAAACTTATTTCAAGAACTTCTTGAAAGTACACAGTCTGTTGTAACTGCAAACGGTTTTATACTTGCTCCCTACTTTTTTTTTTAATGATATCAACAAAAAATAGATGTTTGTAGATAATTGTAAAAGATATGGAAAAAGGTGAATGTATAGGAAATTCTCCTATATATATAGATATTCTCTTTCATTATTAATGACACAAAAAGCTGAATCTATAAAAGAAACTGAATCTATAAAAAAAGCTGAATCTATAAATAAGCTGAATCAATAGAAAAAGCTAGATCAACTGATACCCAAGGGGGGAGGGCGGCACGGGGAGGGGGGTTGTACCCCCCTTGTTTTTTTTTTTACTAAACACCAAAACACCATTTTCCTTGAAAGTTACCATTTTCCTTGAAAGTTCATTGACCTTTGGAGTGGAAAAACTGGTTCTCAAAGTTAATATTTTTCAAAGGTTCCATTTCATTTTCTTATAAATGGATAACTTTGCTGGAATATATGAATATATCGAGAATAAAACTTGTGTACGTGTGGTACAGAGGTATAGAGAGACGACACAGGTATGATTTTGTGTATACTATTTTTTCTATTTATTTATTATTTTGTTTTGTGTTTGCAATTTTGTAGAAATGGATCTATTCCAAAGACTATGAATTCTTCTGGAATCGACAGCAAGAAACGGTGGAAAGAAGAATGAGTATTATGGAGCAGCGGGATATTAATAACGCAGAAGGATTGGCTCCTAAGGATGTTGAAGACTCAAACGACTCCGGATGTGAAGGCAATGATATATCTGATTCCCATATATCGGTTAGGGCAAACTATATTGGTATATCGGAATATCAACAAGCTTTAGAATCCGGAGTGTTTTGTGTGTTTCAACATTATGTCAGAGTGACACTGAACACAGTTATTAGTGGTACTGTTCGAGAAGTACGATTATGTGGTGAGTGCTACTATCGACATAAGATGGGGATTCCGTACGGTTCCCATCAGCATGTGTCCTGGCACTTTACCACAAAACTATTACCAGACAATGTAAACAATATGACAATTGGTGGTAAATGTGGTGATGTGGTGCGTGTAACAGTAATTTATATATTATAATGCATCCTATATGTTGCTATATTTGCAATGGGAAGAATTTTTCAAAGGAAATATAGTAATATATAGGATGCATTATTTTATTTATTTTTCGGTATGTATTAGATTATTTTATTATTAGAAATTATATATTTTAGTTTAGTAATTAGTTATTAAGTTACTATTTCTAAAATTTTATAATTTTATATACTAGTATAGTATTTAGTATTTAGTTAAACATTTGTAATAAGTATTTATTTTTTTATTTATTAGTATGTGGTAATTTAGAAGGGTATATGCTATTATTTTGCAATAAACCATAATTTAATATTTTAAAGTAAAAATGTTTAATAGTTATTTGTAGTAACATATACATATTTATAAGTAGATACTTCACAGTTATAGGGTAAATAGGTATATACAAAGACTATTTAGGTTTCATAAACAATGTTTTAATTTATATAAACAATATTTAATTATAAACAATATTTTAACTTACACTTTTCGTTAAACTAAAATTTCATAAATTAAAATATACTTTATTCAGAATATGTATTTTGAATAAAAATATAAGCATCATTTTCTTTTTAGAAATTAAATCCTCTTTTTAATGTGATTGTAAAATGATGAGCAATACATTGGACATTTCATCCTTAAACCACATTGTACATCATTCCATTTCAATATAGAACTTAGACAAAAGAAGTGTGAACACGTATTTGGCATACAACTTTCATAGAAATCAATCATTTCATTACAAATAGCACAAAGCACTTTCATACTTTCTTGTACATTTTCATTTCTTAAAGTAGTTAAACTTTCTACTTCTTCTCTAGGAGGAGAGTCTAACACACTAAAAGATTGACGTTGAGCACTAAGAACAGTTTGATTTGTTTGTTGATATGATAATTGCAGTGGAATTTCTACTAAATCACTCATTTTAAATCAATATTATTATTATTATAAAATATTACACTAGATATTATTCTTATTGATGTTGAAATTAGATATATAAACGAAAATCTTAAGAATAAATAACAAAATATATTGGAAATAAAAAGGAGTAGGGGAAAGGGTAGAATTAGTGGTGGGAGGAGGAGGAGGAGGAGGAGTATAATGAGGAGGAGGATCTCTCATATTCTATCTACTACGGTCCTGCTCTTCAAGTTTTTCTTCTTGTCGACGCACTTCAAAACGTTGTAAAATTTTCTCGATCCGGTCCTGTTCCTCTTGTCTTTCTTTCTGATGACGCGCCTCTAAGCCTTCCAGAATTTTCCCAAGCCGGTCCTGTTCTTCTTGTTTTTCTTGTTGTCGTTGTAATTTTTCCTCTTCCTTATCTTTACGTAGTCTTTCTTGTTCTTCTTGTTTTTCTTGTTGTCGTTGAATTTTCAAATCTTCAAAAATTTTCTCAAGCCGGTCCTGTTCTTCATCTTTCTCTCTTCTCATATTCTCCATAAAATCGCCCAATAGTTTGCTTACTTCCTCCATTTTTTCGCTTGTTCCCTTGTACCAACCATAAAAATACTCTAATTCGGTCTAAAAATCTTCCAATCCACTTAATTTCTTCCTAAAATCCTCTTGAATCGCACTTCCGACACCAATTGTTACGGATTCCGTGTGTCCACTATTTAAACTCATGATAAAATACTTAACGAATTTATTTGTCTCACTCTGTACACACAACTTATACTATTTACAACACAATTTATGCAACTACTATTACTCTAACGGTAGTTCAAAATTTAAAGCGCGGTATTATCCACAGGGGAACTGTTTAGATTTTATGCGAATGCCAACATCCTATTGTTATTGTTTGGTATGTTGCCAAGTCTATCGAAGATTTGTCAGAGCCTTTGTTTATTTTTAATTTTGTATACGTTTACTTTGGGGAAATCTTAAGAAAAGAATAGTATAATTAACTTACTACTTTTGAAAATTTCGATATTTATAATTTTATTTAGTACTTAATAAGATTCAAGTCAAGATTACAAGAAAAATAAACTTGAAATGTTATAAATTTCGTCATTTTAAAATAGCCTTCGGGATAAATTTTTAATCTGGCAACGCTGCCGTACTCCCCTATTTATCGATTTGTTTTCGTAGTATTTCCCTTGATTATGTATAAATAGATATACAATGAGGGCTTAGTAAAATCCTATCTTCTAGATGGCGCCTTACCCGTTTTGCATTTTTGTATTCCCCTACGATTTTCTTTGAGGGGAATCCGTTAAACCCGCCCATCGTTCAAAATTGGAAGGGCGCGAGGTCACATCTATTGGGCTACTTATTAGCACGTTTCACGCATATTTTACGAAAATAACTTTATCCTTGTTTGTTTCAACTGTGACAAGAAAAAAGGAAAAAAAGTCATATTCGTTTCTAAATTCGGCAGTTTTGTTTATCTTTCTCGACTTCTGATTTCGTTTCGTTTAGGTTATGTCTTAAAAAATAATTATTTATAAGCTTTTGAGTTGAAATATACCTTAATGCATATCTAAATAATTAAAAAAAATCAATTTTTTCGTCCCTCGCGAAGAAACGAAACAGTATTTTTGAATATTTGGATTACAAACTATTATTTTATGAGTTTTATGTGTTGTGTTTACGTGATGTGTAATGTGTATTTTGTACCTGTTGGATAATATTTTGAAACATATTTAATTAAACAAAAAGCATCTGTATTACAGGTGAGTAAATACTGTTCATATTTATTTCTAAATTCATATAAATTTGTTTTAAATCACTCTTGGTTTTAGCGTTTTTTTCTTAGAGTTTTACCTCTAGAGAGTCTGAGATAAGTTTAATAATAAACATTAAATTTGATAGATTGATAGATAGATTAAACGATAATGGCCAGTTGACTTAAAAATTTAAAAAATACTGATTTTATGCTATAAATTATGTTTCATTTCTTACTTTGCTTTTTTGGAACTGTCAGATATATTGTGTATTTTATAATTTTTCTTAATTAATAACGTAAAATATTGTTTATCTACACTCAACCCTGTGTTTAGATAAAGCTTCATATCAGATTTCCTATTTTATATTTTCACTCAAATCATATTTTTGTAAAATAGGTATGCTTGCATGCAAAAGTAGCGTAAATTTGACAGGGAGGTATTTTTATAGATATACAGGATGATTCATAGATTTAAATACATATTTACTTTAGAGTTGTATAGTTTGTCAAAAGAAAGGCTATATTTTTTATTTTTTCTTGGTGAATTTGTCAAAAAATGGTCATTCCAGAAAATACTATAACGTCGTAATCGTATAGAGTTCATTTTGACCATTTTTGGATTAAATAATAAATTTTTTTGTTTATATAATAAAATATATATTTAAAGCCCTTTCTAAGTTAAAAATAAGTAATATGGAAGTTTTTACTGGAACTAATTTAAGGTAATGTTCTCTTCATATAATTATATAAAAATATGCTAAATTCCTAAATTATTTATATGATTAAATTTTCTTTATATTAAAAAACGAACAACCAAACCAAAAACCCTACATCTAGTTTTGACGCCACCAGTATATATCATGCATTATAGTTGATTATACTGCAATTTATTATACATACGTAGTTTTGTTTGGTGAAAATGAAACTTTCTAAAAGTATTCCCAATTAAAACATATTAAGAATTTCCTACATTATAATTTTGAAAGACGTTTGAGTGGGCAGACAATTTGGTCTAAAATAATCATATGTCTAAAAAAATTAGTCTAAAATAATCAAAAACCACTTAACACATATAACTCGCTTTTAAAAAATCTAAAAGAAATAAGTTTTATTCTTTCCTTTTTTTATTATATTCATATTTTATTAAATTATTATAGGTGTGACTGCTAAGTGGTCGTACTCGCCACTTTAACCAACCATTGGTGGGACCATGGTAGGACCTTCAGAGATTATAATGCGAATTTTTCATACCATGTAAATCTATATACATATATTAATAAATGCGTTTGTTTTATTAAATTTGTTTTCTTATACGGTATGAGCGAAAAAAAAAGGCGTCTATTTGTTTACGTACAAATATATGACATCGATATTCATTTCCCTTATCCTTTAAATCCGATTTATTTCTAATAATTATAAAAATAAGATACCTGATTGATTCTTCCGAAATATTATAAAATGAGATATCAGGAAGTACATAAAGTTAATTATCTCGCTTGTTTTGGGAATTCAAAAAAAGGGTATAGAGAATCTTAAGAGACACAGTTCAAATATTATTTTTGAGTATAATGGGTGCTTCAAAAAATGTGGCGGATATAATGTAACATGTTTTTTAATGCAAAAAAACTCTTATTTATAACTTTTATTTTATTTTCGATTCTGCCTAAAATTCTATAACTTTTTTTTTATAAATAACGTTAGTATTTGCAAAATAAAATTATTCCTATGTTACATAATTGTCAGTTGTTTCCGAAGTTGGGCTACACAAATTTGGTAGGAGTGTTTTACAGAGGTGAAGAAAAAGATATATGTAAAAATACTTGGAGTTAGATGCTACACTGTGTTCAAACAGTTTTTTTTGGCTGATCCTATATATTATTATTTTTTCTAGTGCTTTTACAAAACCTTTCAACATTTGTTAAGAAAGTATATTAAGTACATCTATACTCTATACAGCTTGCAATCTGTTCTGAATTTTTCAATTTTTATCCTTCTTTTACTTCATTTACACTATAACAAGTTTTGCCATGACAAAACAAAAATTATTTATTATTAAGCATTAAAGTAATTTATATAGTTATATGACATTATTAATAGAAATTGAAGAATTTTGTAAAATCTATCAGAAAAAAATATAATATACCGGGTGTTTTTCAAAAGTGGCTTGATTGACGTATTCAATTAGTTTCGGTTATTTCTTGTTTCACCGGAAATGACTACAACTTGGTTTTTAAATGGTACCGTCGGTATTTTTTTACTTTATTTGACAGAATATGGCATTGTGAATAGAATAATTTAATGTCAACTTTTGACATATTTACTTAAAAAATTGTATTTTAAATTACAATCTAGAGTGCCATGATAAAAAACAACATGTAACCGGTGGTAAAGGTAACGACAGTTTGACTCGATATACGAAGTGTGTGGTACCAAATTACCTATTTACCAGGTACCAAAAAGGAAAAGACACAAAAATATTAGACGATCAAATCAATTTTTCCGAAGCTCCTTGATTAAAAATTAATGGTTTTAACACAGCCATGACACTAGATTGAATTTTAAAATGCTATTTTTTTTAATTGAAAATGTCAAAAGTTGACATATGATATATGTCATTCTATTCAGAATGTCATTTTCTATCAAATAAAGTATAAAAAATACCGAGGGTACCATTTAAAAATCAAATGTTGTACTCGTATACATTTCCGGTGAAACAGGAAGTGACCGAAACTAACGGAATACGAATCAATCTCGATTTATGTCATATACTTACCTACTAACATTCCGAATTTGGTAAACCCTGAATTTAATTTTTTTATCTGAAAAAATAAAAAGTTATAGGAGGTGAATCGCTTTTGAAAAAACACTCAGTATAGGCTGCGTCATTGAAAGAATCTGCAGATATTTTTCTATTTTAAATACGTAGTCGAATTTCAAAAACATATATTAAACACCCTGTAGCTCTACCTTAAATATCTACATATAAATATCTAATATTTTTTCTTCATCAACAAATTGAAATATTACAAAACTAGTTTTAGGTTACACCATTATTCAAGAAATATACGTAAAAAAAGTAATAGAATTTTACGCAGAATCTAAAATAAAATAGGATGTTACATGTAAAAAAAACATTATGTTAAATTCGCCACACTTTTTACAAAGTTACAGACGTAGGTAGGTATAGTTTCATATTATATTCTTTAATTATCCATCTAAAAATAAAATATTTATATACCTAATATAATACTTTAGTATCCAACAAGTGGCTATGAAAATCAAAATAAATATAAATCCATGTCCAAAATAAAAAATGTAAATAACGCTTTGAGGTATAAATTCGGTTCGAATCAGATAAGATATTTTATTCTTTACCGAGAATTAAATTCGAAGAATTCCTAGTCCCTACTTCTTTGCCAAATTCAATAGTCTCCGCCCCTTTTTACGTTTTAATTTCTGCCACCAGTTGGCAGCATCGACTTATACAGGCACATTGACTAACTATTAATATATAAACAAGGGTATTTCTAAATTGTAGGAGAGGTAGACGTGTCAGCAGTGTCAAATACTGTCAATTCTCGTGTTGTGTTTTTGTTTATTTCTGTTTTTTTTTCGAGTGTTTTTATATTTTTCCTAGTGTTTTTTTTGTGTTTTTAGTGTATTATTGTTATATTTTATTTAAAGGACTAAAATTCGCCTTCAAAATGGGTATAAAGTGCGAAGTGTGTGATAAATTTAAGAAATTACATCCTCAACTGTCATTTCATCGGTAAGTAAATAAAGCCGCCATTTTGTCAGTGGCTCGTATATTAATTTTTATTATGTTTAATATTATATTTGTAAATTTATAATATAATAAACATCATAAAAAATAATGTATATATTTTGTTTACAATCCAAATTTTATGATATTTGAATTTAATTATGAATATAAATGAATTGGTATGTTTATGGTTAAAAATAATATCTAGATCTTAATCTAGATATTTACGTTTTGTATTACCAAGATAAATTGTTATTTCAAATTTCCAAAGGATGATGAGAAATTTTTTTATGGATTTCTCTGCTGGGATTGAGTGAAAGAACACTATTAAAAATACCAAACCGTGCATTAGTTTGCTCTAATCACTTTAAAATATCTGATTTTTATATAAGAAATGGAAGGAAATATTTAATAACCGATGCACTTCCACAGCCATTTAAGTCGCCATTTATTCCATCACAATATAGGTAAAACATTTTGTAGCTTAACATTTTATGTACCTATCTTATATAAATAATATTTTAGTTTTAGCTCGGATACATCAAGTGTTTCCACATCCTTCTGGGAAATCTGCATCAAAACCAAGGTAAATAATTTTATTTAGGACTTATTTAAATCAATTGTCTTCATTTTATTTTCTTCCAATAATTAAGTTCTTTTTTTTATTAGCTCCTCAGCAGAGAAGTATGATAAGGAACATAATATTATTAGCATACCAGGTCCATCAAAAATGTAAGTGTATATTTATTGTAAGATATTTTAATTATTTTTATTGCAAAATACCTATTGTTTTATAGCATATATATAATATCTTGACAGGTTTTTCCTTCTTCTGGGTTTTTCACCACTAAGGCAGAAACATTATTTATATGTATAACAGTACATATAATAATTTAAAAAAGCTTTTATAAGACATAATTTTTTAAAATCAAAAGTATTTATCTATTTTTAGTCAGTAAAATAGTTTAAATTTTTAGGAATATAGAGAATGAACCCGGTGAAATTAATATAATACCATTATCTAGAACGTCATCTTCATCAACAATTACAGCTCCTGAAACTGAAATTCATAAAATTAATTATGACATTACATTGAGCTCAGCTAATGAAGCACATCAAAAGTAAGTACCTGTGTTTTAAATATGAAGTAGTTAGACAAGTTTATATTAACATCTACTTTAAAAGTTGTATTATATCCCCAATAAGAAAAATCTGAGTTAAAAAAGACAGATTTTTTTTTATTTAAATAATCAATAAATGGCAGGCATGTTTGAGAAAGTATTTATCTTTTTTTTATTAGTCAGTAAAATAGTTTAAATTTTTAGGGATATACAGAATGAACTCAGTCAAGTAATAACATTATCTAGAACATCATCCGAATCAACAGTCACAGCTCCTGAATCTGAAATGCATAAAATTAATTATGACATTACATTGAGCTCAGCTAATGAAGCACATCAAAAGTAAGTACCTGTGTTTTAAATATGAAGTAGTTAGACAAGTTCATATTAACATCTACTTTAAAAGTTGTATTATATCCCCAATAAGAAAAATCTGAGTTAAAAAAGACAGATTTTTTTTATTTAAATAATCAATAATTGGCAGGCATGTTTGAGAAAGTATTGTAGTGTAACAACCCAAATTCGTCAACAAAGTTGAAGAGGTAATATATTATGAAGTAGTTAGATATTTATATTAACATCTACTTTCCTTCTTCTGTATTATATCACCAATAAGGAGAAATCTGAGTTATATGTATAACAGTACATATTTTAATTTAAATAATCTTTTATAAGACAGGCATGTTTAAAATCAAAAGTATTTATCTTTTTATTAGTCAGTAAAATAGTTTAAATTTTTAGGGATATTCAGAATGAACCCAGTGAAATTAATATAATACCATTATCTAGAACGTCATCTTCATCAACAATTACAGCTCCTGAAACTGAAATTCATAAAATTAATTATGACATTACATTGAGCTCAGCTAATGAAGCACATCAAAAGTAAGTACCTGTGTTTTAAATATGAAGTAGTTAGACAAGTTCATATTAACATCTACTTTAAAAGTTGTATTATATCCCCAATAAGAAAAATCTGAGTTAAAAAAGACAGATTTTTTTTATTTAAATAATCAATAATTGGCAGGCATGTTTGAGAAAGTATTGTAGTGTAACAACCCAAATTCGTCAACAAAGTTGAAGAGGTAATATTTATGGCCAACTGTATAACAAACAATTTAAATGAAAGAAAGGAACCTACGTTGTGTTAATTTTTTTTTATTATGATTACCTCGGATGCGCCTCGACAGAAACAATATTTTGGGAAATTTGAGGAGAATAGGTTATGTAAATAAAACGCTAAATTTGTAAATAGCCCTACTTATTTTATTAAATGAAATGAAAAGAGTGCCGTACTCTGCCTGGAATTCACATGTAAAAGAGCACGCAGAGAAAACCATGATCACTATTCCAGAGACTCTAACTATGCTGTCCTTAACTTTAATAAAAGAGAAATAATAATAATATAGAAGCTGTCCTCATACCAAGGTTTGTAGTTTTGTACATTCAAAACATGCCACATTTATATCATTCAAAACTGAAGAGTGTTTGGTTAGTTAGCAGGTCGCCGCCTGCAGGTACTAAGGTCCTGGTTTCGGATCTCGAAGCTAAAGTTGGATGTTTGGTGTAAATATCTTAATATTATATTTATTGCTTTTAGTTGCCCTCTGCGAGCTAAGATATTTGCCCAGTCACGGTCGAAAAGTATTAGTACATTCAACAAGGCCCTTGTTCTCACCTCGGAACCACAAACATCGACACGACTGGACAGCACATTATTGTATTTAGATTACTTTTAAACTGAAATTATTTACAGCATAAATAGATTCCATTAAATACATACACATGTTATATGATATAATTCTCAGATGAAATAAACAAGGAAAAACTTTAATACAGAATATTAGAACAAAAATAAAATATATGCTTTAGTTAACATTAGTTAAATAATGAGAAAATATTTACTTTACCTTTAATAACATTCTTTGTCACAAAACTCAAGAACCAAAAATAACATTAATGCGTCTCGAATCGTAGTCTCAAAGCTCATCCTCTTACAACTATCATCTCTGGTCGTCGCCTCTTTCCCTCTCCCTACTTTTGCGAATAATATTTTAAAAATCAATAATTTTATTTATGTATACAGAGTGTCTTAAAACTGAATATTTTAGATTTAAAGAAATATGTCTATTTTTAAATAGGCGGTTCATCTCAGTATTTATCTTTTTTTTATTAGTCAGTAAAATAGTTTAAATTTTTAGGGATATACAGAATGAACTCAGTCAAGTAATAACATTATCTAGAACATCATCCGAATCAACAGTCACAGCTCCTGAATCTGAAATGCATAAAATTAATTATGATATATTGAGCTCAGCTATTGAAGCACATCAAAAGTAAGTACCTGTGTTTTAAATAATATGACATATAACATAGTTAGACAAGTGTATATTAACATCTACTTTAAAAGTTGTTTTATATTCCCAATAACAAAATCTATATTTTTTATTTAAATAATAAATATTAGGCAGGCATGTTTCAGAAAGTATCTTTTTTTATTAGTCAGTAAAATAGTCTAAATTTTTAGTGATGTACAGAACGAACCCGATCAAATAAATCTTACCTGTGTTTTAAAAATGAAGTAGTTTATATTAATATCTACTTAAAAGTTGTTTTATATCTCCAATAAGACCATTAAATAAGATATTTTTTATTTTAATAATTATTAATTGGCAGGCATGTTAGAGATATTTTTTGAGCTCCAATAAGCCCTCATTGCCACGGTAGTTCTCTTTAGACAAACTCATATTTTAAACTACAGTTATGGTGTGTTGATACAACTTCTAATATGCCATCTATCCTTGTTATACTATAAGTTGTGTGGCTTTTATATTGCTTTTATAGTGGTATTACAATTTCAAACATTTTGAGTGTTCAAATCAAGTTTGTACAGTAAAGCACAAGTTATTGTGATATACCACATATCTTTAATAAATTTCTATTAAATTTGAAAAAAATATATTTGAGGTCTGTCCATTGAGGAGATCCATGACCGTGATAATTGGTATCTGCCGTTTTAAATCACAGATAAATCGAATATTCCTTCATTTGTTCAATGTGCTCTGTTGAAATCTTCTCTGACTCAGATAGACTTCACACATTTATTTTTGTAAAATGTATTCTCGCTTTTTTATTACTAAAAATATATTTTAGGAATATTCAGTATGAATCTGAAGAATTTATACAACCCTTGTGTCGAGTGTCATCTTTATCAACAACTACAGCTTCTCAAACTGAGGCCTCCAAAAAAAGGTATGATCTATTCAAACATTATTTCTAGAATAAAACTTTAAAATTAATTGCTCATTAAAAAAATCTTAATCGTAATTATTCTTTTGGAAACAATATAGTTAGTAATTCCATTAAATGCTAATCACTAGGTACTTTGTACTAAGTTAAAAACATTTTTTTAAATTGATTTCAACCACTGTCATAACAAATTTATGCCCTTGAGAAGTTCTAATAAAATAAAGTATGACATATTTATTTTACATAAAACCGTACACAAAATACATATTATATCCTAAGTTAAATATGGAATTGTATATTTATTATATAATAATTATAATATATTTATTATATAATATATTAAATGTATTTTCTTAAAATTATTTTTCGTAATAGTGCGTTAAGCATCTGTAGCTCCTAGAATGAAAAACTTAGGAATTTTGTTTAAGTGCAAGCCTAAAGTATATACTAGGATGTATTTCAGGCAAATATTTTAACTTCTACATGGTGGCTGAACAAAAGTGTGAGTGGTTCTGGATATTTTTTTAAGTGGAACACCCTGTATATTATTGCATTTTTGGTTTCCTTTTAGATCACTTTACATAATCCTAAGATATTAGTAATTATATTTTAGTAGTTTCAGATATATTAATAAAAAAAATATATATTTTTTTCAGTCTTTCTTAAAAAAATATTAAAAATACAATAACTGTCCTGAAATTAAAACTATATTAGGTTTTTACTTTAGATGGTCTGTATTGGCTTTGCTATAAATAAATCTTAAATCATACAGGGGTGTTCAAAATTCTGCGCCAAACTTTCTAAAATATATTTTTTTACTTTTATATATTTTTTGTTTTCTTGAGGGAAAGCCCTGTAGATTATTTGTTTATTAGATGGAGAATTAAAAAAATTATCATTTTTTGTATTTAGAGTATTTCAAAATTTTTAACGGTCTCGCAGATACATACTCGCAATATTATTTCATATTATTCTTGCAACGGTAAAATACGAGAGAAAAATCATTGGGTGACTGATAAAAATTTACTGTGGAAAATGCCATATGAAATATAAAACCCTGAATATCTGCGATACCGTTAAAAATGTTGAAATACTCTAAATACAAAAAATATTCGTTTTTTAATAATTATTTATTTATTAAACAAATAATATACAGGGTTTTCCGTTTAAAAAACGAAGAAAAATGATTTTATATTTTAGAAAGTTTGGCGTAGAAGTTTGAACACCCTGTAAGATTTAAGATTTTGATATTTACAGCGAAGTAAGTGCAGACCATCTAAAGTAAATACCTAATATAGTTTTGATTTCAGGACAGTTCTTGTATTTTTAATAATTTCTTTAAGAGGCTGAAAAATATATTTTTTTTATTAATTTATTAATATCCCTGAAACTACTGAAATATATTTATTAATTTTAGGATTATGTAAAGTGATCAGAAAGAAACCAAAAATGCAATAATATACAGGGTGTTCCATTTAAAAAAAAATCATACTGATCCACTCACACTTTTTTGAGCCACCCTGTGGAAGTTAAAATATTTTCCTGAAATACACCTTAGTACATACTTTAGGTTTGCACTTATACAAAATTTCTAAGTTTTTTATTCTAGGAGCTACAGATGCCCGACGCACTATTGCGAAACCCTGTGTACTAATATATATCATGCAATCGAAAAAAAATAGCATTAGTTGGCTTTTGTATGGTGAATATCATCTATCATCATTTCCAAGACGTGGCAGTTTTTTTTCGGTCACAAGGTAGACTATATAGTATGTTTATAATTTTTTTTAGGAAGCGGCGTTATATCGGTGACTTGAGTAGTGAAGACTTTGCTACACCGAGAAAAAGGAAAAGAAACCTGAATTTAATTAAGATCAGGTTTCTACGTACAGGAAAAAAATTAAAGTGTTGGGAAACACAGTTAGGAAATGGCGAGCCAAAATAAAGTCGTTAAATGGCTTAGTGAAATATTTAAAAGAAAAATTATATATTTCAGAATCTTCTGAAGCAGCTCTTAAGGTAAATAGTATATATGGAGGTATTAAATGTCCTTCAGGCATTTGGGCTATATCCTATTCAGATTTTTTTAGAATTTAG